CCTCTATCAGTAAGGAGCAAATTAGATGCTTTAGAGGGCTTTGTCCATTTCTTTTGTGTTTCTTCGATACTAAGAAAATTTGAGGCTGAACAGCATCATTCCAGTTAATGGATTTTTTTTGTATCTAGAAACCAATATAAAAAATACATATTTATCTCAGAAGTACTTTGATCATTGGAAGGCTCTTCTGGCTCTCAGAACCAACAGAGGTTTGCGTGAACCTTGAAAAATCAGCTTCAAAGTCTTTTATCAAGGTGTCATGGTTCAAAAAAGAAAATGTGTTTTTCATATTTGTACCTAATCGGGTCTCCCAGACACTTACTTTCTATGCAGAGATGACACTGAGAGTATTCTTATTTTAGTCTTACACTATAGTGATGCAAATGAGAATCTGAACTAACCTGTCACCATAGTCTACAATGCTGGCACTGGCACTAATGTGAACCATGGAACGGGGTTCAGGTCACATCATCATACACCCATCTGATTTACTGTGGTTGCATCTGCTCTTGGGTTGTCAGTACTATGAAGTATGTGGGCAATTGCTGGAGGACTATGGCTGTGGAGCTGTGAAGATGGGAGTTAGTGAGGCAAGCATTGCATCTGGCAGAACAGGTAGCCTCCTGCCAATCCTTGCACCAGTGCCCATGACAACTGTGCTATGGCTCTCTACTCAACAAATTAATCCATTGCATGGACCTACTCATTTCAGTTGAAGACTTCTGAAACTTTTTGATACCCAGGATCAACTGTCAAACTGCACAAGATCTGCGACTGAGACACTTAGGAAAGAAAACTCAAAAAACTGCCCCTGTCTTTAGATTTTTGGAGAGAAATTAGCAGTCAGATTAAATTAGACGGCCTCTCTTACTGCCTCTCCTCTGCACTGTGGTCTGGACGAGCAGGCATCTCGCTGTCTCAGTGGGTGAATCAGTGCCACAGCTCTGGAGTGACCAGCATACCAGCAAAAATGGTGTAAGCAAAAGGGAGAGAGCTGTAAGGCAGAATGGCTCAACAAGAGCACACAGCTTGAAAACAGCATCATGTGCTGCTGGGCTTCGGGTGACCAGACAGAATTTATTTCAGTAACCACTCATGTACCAGAAGGTGTCTGACAGCCTAGAGAGGAAACACAGCCACCTGACCACACAACCTCTCTCCTTCAGCATACACATTTATCAGTCTTTGCTGATGTTTTGTTCCTGGGGACCTTCTGCAAACCAGAAGTTCCTCTCATTAACTTCATTATCTCACCTTACTTTAGCCAGTTAGGCTTTCCTGACAGCCTTGCAATTTCCCCTGCAAATTTCCTCACAGAAAACCATTTTATTGCAGTTTTGCTGCAAACAATGCAATTTAGCTGTCTGCAGACATTTCCGCATGTTGACCATGTTCTCCTTGATTTGAAAACTGCTCCCTGCACTGTGCAGAGTGTCAGCGTGTAGCAGACATCTGAGTACAGACTGACAGATGTAGGAGAGTGTCCCCTCTCTGGCCTCCACAGAAAAGACTTATGCAGGGACTACTGCATCCCAATACTGCATTGTACTGTTGATTAAGTTAAGGAGCCCTGTGTAGCAGCCTTGAATTCCGTCTCATAAATGTGGTGAACAGAAGTTGAACAATCAACTTTATGCATGCTCAGGAAAGTGAGTGGCAATCTGGAGAACAGAGAAATATCGAGAACAAAATTGAAAGGATGAGAACAAGAGGTGGAATATGAAGCAGAGCAGAGACAAGTGGATTAGGAACTGCAGAGACCAATGTGGACAAAAGTTAGCATAAGAAGAAAATAAAGAGAAAATTAGTGGTGATTAAGTGTAGTAGATGCTGGGATACTGGATACCAGTAATGACCAAACAAGTTCTTGGGCATCTGGATTTCAAAATATATTAATTTTTGAGGATTTGTCTTTAAATCCTGGAAACATTTTTAAAAGGTTTGAGAGGCCCAAGTAAGAACGTATGTATATACATACATAAAAATAATGTGGTTTATCTCAGAAATTATAATATTTATCCTGGTGTAATAGAGCCATTATTTATAGTGAGAAATTTTTCAAAAAAAAAGGGACTTCTGCAGGTTTTAGTGGCTGAAAAATATTTATGGATTGCATGTGTGAAAAATCTACATGATATCCTCACAGTCAGATTAATACATATAGTCTGAAGAGAAAGAACAGTAGTTATTTTTAGAGATTTTTTTTCTGTAATAGAATACGTAAGTGCTTGCAATATTACTAACAACAAGCTTTAAAGCATTAGCAAAAAATGATTGTTTTAATAAAGATTTTAAAACACCAGCAAGTCACATAATTTTGCCCGTGCACCACTTTTTTTAGACACACTTTTTCACTTAAAGTCTTAAAAAAATCTCCATATATTGCACATGAAATTTCAGCACAAAAAGTTAGCTGGTGACATACTATTTTACTTACGGCAGCTACAATCAATACAACCAAGGCTCAAAGCAAAATTTTATGGCTATTTTATAAACTTAGGAATGTACTCTGGGAATTTATCATGGAAGAATTTACTCAACCTGTATTTAAGGAATAACTAGGGCAAGTGCTGTGAAGGCTTGTAGGCCAAAATGCACCCGCTACTTCTGTTGAGTTACAGGTATGGCATAGTAATGGGGAGCACTTAGGTGGTATTAGGGTGAGGCAAAATGTGTCTGGTGTGTTTGAGATGCTCTTCTCCTTTCCCCCTTTGAGGGTGCATGAAACCTCTAAGTACTTAGGGTGATATTCTCAAAAGTATTTTGGTACCCATTTGTCTGTGAAATTAATAATTTAGATGTTTACATGTCTCTGAAACTACTGTTGTTAGTAGACAAACTGACAGGATTTAATGTGGAAAAAAAAAATTAAGTCACATTAAAAATATTTACAAAGTTGCTTGTTCATATGATGGCTTCGCTTGTTCACAAAAGAAAAAAAAAAAAGAAGCATAAAAACATGATGCCTTATTATCTGAAATAATTGGTGATTATTTTATAGGACGGTCTTATTAACACTTGATTTTATGGGGAGTCAAGCTCCTGAAGTCTATCAGTTGTAGGGGGATTTTGGCTTTGGTTTGGTTTTTTTTTTCAAGTGTGTCCCTAATCCTCAGAGCTACAATGAAAAGTTTAAAAATAGGACTGGAGGATCAGAGGTCATATTTGGGATCTTAGAGGATCAAAGGAGACATAATAATAATAATAACCCCACATTGTGGTATTATTAAAGTTATAAATATGCTTAAGGCAATTATCATGGAGGGGGAGGCTAATTAATGGGATGGGGTTTTTAGGTTTGGGTGTTTGCTTATATTGCATTTATGTTTACTTCCTGAAACTTATTTTACGTTATCCACCATTATTCATATAAATAGTCTACAAGAAAAAAAAAACTCAAATGTTTGTTAATTTAATAAAGAACAGCCAGGGAATCTGCTTACTTATGATAGCTACAGCTAAAATCCTTCTACAGAAATTCTACCTCTTTTTTTCTTTTATTTTTTAACTTTCCAGACCATGCTAGCAATGAAAAATGTCGTGAGAGTTTTTTGATAGACATGTTTATTAGTAATTTTCTCGCTTATTGGTTCCAGGGGTCAGTCATTCTCATATCCCTTGGCAGCAGCACTTTGCTGGCAGAAAAGTTTATATAAATGTTGGGTGAAAGTGTGTGTCACAGACCCACTCTTTTTCGGGGAGACTCCTAGGCTGCCCCAGGGGCCATTTACCATCTGGGAGAATTCTGCTTCCTCTCTCCATGTGCCGTTAATATCCCTTTCTGATTCGGTGAGAATGTTGTTAACCCCTGCGGTCTCATTTCTGGGTCTGTTTCCTTCCATGATGTCCTGTAGGAACCTATAGGACAGTTATATAGAACACTGAAGATGAGGGTTCATCGTTTTGGTTCTTTGCGGGTTTAGAGAAGTGGCTACAGGTTTTATAGCTGACCTAGCTTTGCATCTGATAAATCCCGAGACTTCCATAAGGGGAGAAATCAATCTGAATTCTGCAATTTCTTGAAGATAGCCATTACAATCCTGTAATTTTTTTGAAAATGAGAATATCTGTGTGGAAAACACTTCCCCGTCTCCCCTCAGTGTGTATAAATCATTGTTTTATAGAATCTGGTAAGATTTGTTAGAGGTAACTATGGTGTAGACTCTGTGAATGCATGCACACACAGCTTTGGACCCAGTGAAAACTTGTGTTTAAGTGATGTGATCAAAGGTCTGTGACTGTATGGGGCTTGGTCTAATTGTCAAGTTCAGACAGTGTCGAACGGTGCAGAGATTGTCAAGGGAATGTCAAGAGTGACTTCTAAACCAGAGGCTCCTATTTTGATCCGGAACGTATGTTCGTTTCCACGTGTCTGAAGGCCACTTGCTGTTTTAAAGCAAAGCCTTCTCCCTCTCGTTGCTGCCCCAAAACCTCAGCCCCCAGAGCCCGCCTGGCAGCAGGGGTGGCACTGGCAGGGGTTTGCTCTGTTGCTGCAGCGCGGCGCGCTCCCAAACGCCGGCAACCGCCACAGCCACGGGTGAAGTGGATTCTGAAACCTTTCCGTTTCCTGACACGCCGTAACGCCAACATCGTTTGCCCGCGGCGTGCGACCTGCCTCTCTGTTCGGCTCCATTTCCATTCGCCTTTGAAGGCTCTTCGGCGGGGCGAGGGCGGAAAAATGATCTTCGCGAGTGGAGTGGAGCCCTCCTGGGCTTGGCACAAGTTCCGCGGCGCGGCGAAGGGGGTGTGTGTGGGGTGTGTGCCGAGCGGCAGCCGGGCTGGCAGAGGCGCCGGGGCAGCAGGAGGGTGGGAAGGGGCTGCCGCCGGGGGCGATAACCCTCCTTTAGGGCAGGAGCGGGAGAAATCCCGAGGGGAGGGAGGTGAGAAATCTTAGGCAATAACCTTTGCCATGTTACC